CTTCCGGCCTCCTCTGATAGCCCCACGCGCTCGCCTTCTCCGATGGCGTCTTCCAAGGCCGCAGAGTCGCTACCCTCCATCGCTTCTCGCAGCATAGCTTCCATCTGTCACAGCAACAGAACCCGATAAGATGACTTCACGGTGCTCCGTGCACACGAAGCAAATACGGCGAAAACTGCCTGATTGGCGGCATGCAGAGCATCTTCCGGGCTCACTGATGCCACCTCCATCTCTCAACCAGCCGAGCATGCAGGGTTTCCAGGGCTTATAGGGCTTGGCAAAACCCCCCTCCTAGACTGGTCCTAGACTCTGGATCTCTAGACACCAAACCCCGAAAGGACCCTCCGTTTTATGTAAAGCAAAAGCCTTCCGGCCTCCACGGGAAGCCCCAGGCGCTCGCCTTCTCTTCCCTGCATCGTTCCCCGCTTGGCGGAAGCTTCCGCCTCTCGGAACCGGATACGAGGAGCTGGACAGGTTCCAAGCACAGGTTGAAGATCCGTCTCCGGGCACTAGTTTCTGGTGCAGTCCCGAGGAGTCACCCCTGTGGAAAGAAGTGGCAACAACACGGCATTGCACTGGGCAAAGCTCTGCAGGAGAGCGACCACGTCGAAGAGCAGAGGGGTAAAGATCATAGACGCAGTAGCACTCGTTATCAAGATGACGACGATTGAACCACGCATGGTCATAGAACCATTCAATGAAGCCTGCCAGAATGTATCCGGTGTTCCGCCCATGCTGCTAAAAATATCTGAACCCCTGTGATCCCAGCTTTGCACTATGATGAGATGCCGGTTACACATAGACTCGACATCTTCTGGCCATCTTGGGACTTCACGCCTGCGAGCCCTCTTAGAAGTCCTTCGCGACTCTCATCCAATGGACCCCCGTCAGAGTCTTGCTTAGAAGCTTGACAGACAGGTAGCATGAAAGACTTCACGGAGCCTTCAGATAACGGCTGTCTTTCTGAGAAAACGAGGGCACGACAGAGCCGGGTGAGCTAGAGCACCAGTGCTTGAGTTGGCACATGGGCGTCCACCACACTAGAAACACCATCACTGCTATTGTCCTCCCCAGTGAACTTCTCTGTCAAGGTAGCGACTTTGTCGGGTCCTTGCCCTAAGTACGCGAGGGCGATGATTTGGAGCTTCTTCCTCTTAGGCTGATGTTAAACCCATCCGGGCACCGACTGCAACAGCAAAAAGCCCATGCTGAGAATCTGCTGACTTTGTCAATCGCGCACAGGTTGTATAGCGCAGAACACCACACTTCAGGGCACCATGCAATCAACAAACCTTGTGCTCGTTGCGGGCCTGCTTCCATGCTTCTCACGCCTTCTGGTCCTTCGTGTCCAGGCTCCAGAGATCGTTGAAGCCTCAAGCAAGGCTGCTGGCTTTCAATCCATCGCCGCAGGGCGTGGCAGGCTGTCATCACAAAAGGACGCTGGCGCGGCCGCGCGGCCACGGACTCAGGGGCGGACTACAACCCCCGAAGACCAGCATCTTTTGCTGCTCCGGAAGGTACACAGCGGCGTGGCCGTCACGCCCTGGTGGAGTTCTTCCTTTCACCGCCGCCTCTGACCATTCCATGGCCTCGCGGCTTGGAGCACTCTTTCCGCACTTGACTCGCCTGATTCCAGCACATCCTGTGAGCATTCCGCTCTCTTTGCACTCAGGCAGAGGAACCTTCCGACATCTTCCGACGAGTACCTGCTGCCTGTCGCATGCCATGAGCGGCCCCCTTGCGTGCGCTGCCCCCGACACGCCGGCATGGAACGGCGATGCTGTTCTGGACCCGCGATTTCTGAGAAGACCTATGCAGACAAACCTCTTCCGGCGTTGCTGGAAGCCGCTCTCAGGTCTTTATGGTGGCCATCTGCGTGCCCTTCGGGAGGTTTCCCTGCACTGGACTACAGCAGCCGTTCCCGGCAAAGGGTTCATCGCTGACCTCGGCCTCTGAATCATAGGATGACAAGGCGTGGTGATTGCGCTGTCGTCAACAACGGGGGGAACACGCATGATTTTGAGAACGTGGACATGCAAAGCTCCAGATGTCTGCACGCTGAGTCAACTTCCGATTGCCAACCCTCAGCCAATCGCCAGTCCCTTGGTTGGGACGTGGGATTCAGCGTCAGCCTCAGTTCGCGGTCTTGGGACGCGTGGGGGCTCAGGAATCCTCCGACAGGCACTTGGGACCAGCGATGCTTTTCTTGCCCCCCGCACTCGGACAAGACCGTTGCAAACAGATCTCTTCCGGCGTTGCTGGAAGCCGCTTTCAGGACCTACATGGTGGCCCTCTGCGAGTGGT